CTTGTGTGTGGATATATTGTTATTGTTATTACATTGCTGTCGCTATTGTTGCTGCCGTTGCTGTTGCTCGTTGCCCGTTGCAATTGCAATTCAAGCGCAAAATCATTAATATCCTTTGGCCTCAACGAACCCCAGCGATGCGGCCCCTTTTCGCATTTTTTACTGTGGTTGCCCGCGCGACTTCTTTTTTATGAGGCTTCCACATGTTTGGCCCATTGTTGCCAGCACCTCGGGTCACTTAATGAACTTGCACAGACTTTTTTTTTTTTTTTTGTTTATCTAGCCGATAAGGAGCAGAGACAAGTCAAGCATCTCTAGTCTATAGTCTTAGCACTGATCAAAGTCAGCGATTTGCCGATAGAGCAAACACTTCAAGGCAGCCAAGCCCACTCTGGGATCTGCCCTAAAGCACTTGCCCTTTAGCTGCCCACCCAATCACTCAGTCATCCACCCACCCACACTACTTCTCTCACACTCCCTCTCTCCATACACCTTTCACTTATCCCAAAATTTCAGCAGCAATTACGTGTAGACACAAACACCACTCGGCTAAATATCTGGCTCAATAGTTTAATGAAATTATCAATATCCAGCTCGAGTCCACTGAGTATGTGTCATCAGCCCAAAGCAAGGGCGATGAGTCCGATGCATCCATAGCACACACACAGGCATAATCACCTACTGATGTAAATACAATATTTTCAATATAACCACTTAACGCTTAAATCCCGCACCGCACCGCACTGCACCACACACGACAAGACACAAAACACAACCCTCATCAGGGGTAGTAGTAGTAGTAGTAGGCCTTGGTTACCCTTACCCCGCCGCGCTCACACAGTGTTATCTGTCGAGCGACTACATGACTACTACATACTACCTATAGATGTATAGATGTATGTATATATGTATATGTGGGTCTACTACCTTGTGCATGGCCCCTTGTTGTCAGCCGCATCAGCCAAGTGCCGGCACAGCGACCACAACAGTATCAATGCACAAACTGTACCCAGGCAGGCCGAGCAGACGGTAGCAGGGGTACTCTACTCAGCCAGCAACCCCCAAACGCCATGGAGGGTTAAAGTTTGAGACGATGATGACGATGACGGCGACGACGACGACGACGACGACGTCGACGAGAACGACGACAGTGAACTGTCATATTTGCTTTGACTGACAAACTGACAAACTGACTGACTGACTGAGAGACTGACGGGCGTACGGACGTACAGAGGAACGACACATGAGTGCGGTGGTTGATGTGACTTACCAACTGACCATCTGTCATGGGTAACAACTGCACAGAGCGGTTAAATACAACAACAACAAAAAAAGTACGGCATATTTTTCAGCGCATTGGTGCCCTACCGTTCCGTTTAGAGCATTCAAATCGTGCACTGGAGTGACAACTGTACCCACGGCAAGTGTACTATCCAAAGACTGCCAAGTGCTTGTTGCTGTTGTAGCTAAACAAATTTTATTTTTTTTTTTTTTTTTTTTTTTTTTCTGTGAGCTGAAATTTGCATAACTTGTAAAAGAGCGCGCGGCTAAGCACTTGAGGAATTCCTTTAGAAACTCCCCTCGTATCATTTGTATATTTCTTGACTCGAGTGTGCCGGCATTTCAGAGCGCTAAGTTCCTAAGGGTTTCGGCTGACAAAAGGGTTCTAGGTTCGCCAAAGAAACTGAAGCTGAACTTAATTGTTTGGAAAGATTTCTTCAGTTAAGACAATTTTGCTTAGAGAAAGAGAAAGAGAGAGAGAGAGTGAGAGAGGGAGAGGAACAGAGGACTTCTGCTTTTTCGGGGTGTAGTTCACCTTTAGCCACGTTTATATCCAACTCCATCTCAGTAAGACCACCTATATGGCATTTGTCTAAGCGCAGCCACTAACTAACCACAAAATGCCTTTGTTCAACTCTCGAACTCTACTCTCGAACAGCAGCCAATTAATTGGCCAAGTCCAGGCTACTTACAATGGCTGCCAGCTCCCACAGGAGCATAAAGAAATCATTGGCAGTCGGAGCTGTTGACCACATCAATGCGCTCCAGGTTTTGCCTGGATGCATCAACACTTCAACGAGTGCGACGTACCGACGGCTCTACTCCAATCGGAACTAGGCCTCAAGTGTGGGCACAATGGGACGATGGGCCCATCGTCCACCACAATTATTTCCATTTGATTGAGCAAAGAAGTGTGCGTGGAACGTTCCTTCCTCTATATATATACAGTCTCTTCTTCTTCTCTTCTTTTTTTTGTACAACAACAACAAGCTGGACACATTGTGGGCTGCCTGGCCAAGCACTGGGCACTGTGTGGTCATCTCTTGCAACGGCAACGGCGACGGCGACGGCGACTCGAGTTCGCTGTGTTTATTGCGCTATATGCTTGAGTGCATTCGCATTTATGGACGATGACGATGATGATGATGATGATGATTACCGGAAAACTTGAGTCGGGCTGCGTTTTATGCATATTGTGATGAACGCTCATGCGGTCTGGGCTTTAAGAACTTTAAAACGAGAATCGACAGTTTTGAGAGAGTTTATAAATAAATGAGCTGCATTTGTGCATTTGAATGCCAGAATAGCAATTAGATTTTGGATTGTATTGAGCGGAGTCTCAAGAGCCAGCAAGGCAAATTAAATCTAGATGTATGACTAGCAATCTCAAACTAGCTAATACAAATGATCTGACATATTTATACATATAAGAATATCATTCTCTCTCCACAATTTTTAAAGTAATTTGAGTGGGAATTTATAAAAGCAATCATGCCAATCTGTTCTTCACTTATACACTCTCCTAATGCTCTTTTCGTATGTCAGGTTAAACAACTAAAATGTAAGCGAAACCAAAGATATATAGAATAACCCTGATCCCTGGATTTCTTTTTCAATGGGTTCAGGGTTCAGGGTATACAAAATTCCAAGTTGCAGACTCAACTTTATTGATCTTTACTAAAAATAATTAAATAATTATTCTTTAAGCCTGTTTGACTTTTTCGATAATGGTAAACTTAAGCAAAAGTATGTATATCCAATCAGAATATATCTTATTGGCGAAATTATCTTAGTCATTGTTCTTAACCAACATTATATTTCTCAACTAATATATAAAGAAAAGTTTTGCGAATAATTTTCTGTATTTCTATTCGATAATATTGAGAAAGAAAAGGAAAAAAATGTTCTATGAATAATTTTCTGTATTTATATTTGATAATAAATAAAAGTAAAGAGCCGCATTGGGTATATATAGGTCAACATAGTGTAGCGAAGAATACAAAATCTTGTTCTCCCTAATTAATAAATTTAATTTATTAATTAAATTTAACTAATCATAACTGGATATAGGAACATTATACACAATATCAATATGTAAAATAATAGAGAATTTGATATATTTTTTTTAGCATTAGGATATAGGAACATTATACTTAATATCAATAAACTGATAGAGATTTTTATATATACATTTTTTAGATATGTATTTATTGAAAATTATTGTGCATATCTCTCGAGAGAGTTAAAGATGAGCAACGATATCCAATCAGAGATCAAGAGATATCTTAGTCTCACATTAAGGCAAACCAAATGCATATCATAATATATGCAACCTGTAAACCCAATCACCCTCAGCTAACTGTAAATACCTCTTACTTTTTAATATGACCATAATTAAAAAGAGTTTTATGCTCAAATGGAAGTCCCACCACAACCTCTGGACCAATTAAGCGCATTCCGCAACGGGCTGTGGCTGGCCCCCTTTTTGGCCATTTATCCTAATAGTTTTACAAGAGTGGCGAAATTTATGCTCAATTAAACATGCGCTACCAATGTCACTCCGGCAAACCAATTAAATAAATTGGCGCAACTTCGAGTGGCGAACTATGATAATAACCTTTAGCTTGACTTGGCTAAGAGCACATTCACATTCACACTGACACTCACACTCTAACCTGTGGGCCAACCCGTTCGGTTATGGCCCGCACCCGCATTGAATTTTCCTCAGCTTTTTGCGACTTAATGAACATACGCTTTGAAATGGAAATTAAGGTAAATAGTTTAGTGAATTGCTGGCTTACTCTAAGTTCGGGTTGCCTGCTGGCTTAAGCGCTTTGCGGGCTTCTACTACTCCTTTCGCATTGCTTCCACCTGGCGCTTAGTCACCCTCTAGTGCAATTATCCTTGACATTCGCAGCTATAGTTCTACGAACTGCAACGTAATGTCACCATGCATATTTAACTTTTTTAACGGGTTTTTTCCTGGTCTATATGTATATAATATATATGCATTACTTCAAATAATTGTCTATGTCCAAAGAGCAGTGACTAAAACTTTATAGGAAAAACACAATTCATGAATAGAAAAAATCGATTTAAAAAAAATAATAATAATAATTTAAAAAAAATTTTTAATGGGTTAAGAGTATTAGAAAATGAATAGTGAAATATTATTTATTTTTAGTTATTTTTTTAAATTTATTTATTTATTTATTTTTTTATTTATTTATTTTATTTTTTTATATATTTTTTTCTGCAATATACTGCAATATAGACTGCAATATATTAATCATCATCCATAATAAATTTACTAATTTTATTTAATAAAATTTGTTGTTTTATTTCAAACTTGTTTATTTTAAAACTCAGACTGCAAAATTTATACATCAAATTTGTTATATCTTTTATATATAATTTTAAATTTATTAATAGAGGAATTAAAGCAACTCTTGACTACCTCCTAAACTATATGATAGTTCTATAATAATTTATTTATTAAATCTATCAAATGATTACTTTAAACCTAAACAAATACAAACGACGCAAATGACTTATGAATATAGGAAATATTGATTTTAGAATTTTATATATATATATATATTTTTTTTTTATATATTTAAAAATATATATTTTTTGTATATATTTTAAAAAAATATATTTATATGTTTATATATTTTTATTAATTTCACAATAAGCCAACCTATTTATGTATCACTTCAGGCACTGCTGTTTCTCTACATGGACGAGCTCTAATAGATCTTACTCCTTCCACTTTATGACTCACTTCGGCAGCTCTGGACAAACGCTGTGAGTGTAATGACAATTTAAAAGTAAAATTCATTTCCACTTACAACTTTTTCAGCGCAAACATTTCGATAAAAAACAAACATTGACTGAGCCCTGGCAATTAGCGTGACAAAAACAACAGCAACAAAAACAAAATAACAACAACATTGGTAAGTGACAGATGAAGCAGCAGCATAAGAACAACAATAGAGACACTTGAAAATGTTGCCACTGTCAATGCCACACTGCCACAAGGCGACCTTTGTTTAGCATTTTTGGCGCTGTTGTGTCAAACGCAGCATGATAAGGCGCTCAAGTGTGGCTCGCCCAGATTTCAATTTGAACTTGGCATCAAATTAGCAAAGCTCTTCTCGTGTCTCGCTTTATGCCAATGACAGCCCAGGCCAAACACTCTCAATTCAGTTCAGTTCACTTCAGAGGAGAGGGAGAGTATGCAAAATCCGAGACAAAACACTTGAGACTGCTGAAACCGAAAACAGCAGACAACAGTTGCAATTAGCAGCGTAAACAAGCATCAATTGGTTAGAGCTTGTAGAATGAATTTCCGAAAATTGAGCCGAGACGATGGCTAAGTAGGTCGGCTCTGGCATGGCGCAGCCCTTCTGATTTATATGGACGTGTGGTTGGCGCTTTTAAAATAAACTAATTAAGTTAATTAGCTACGATTTGGATGCGTGTTCGGTAGATGCCACGCTGCATGGACTGCACTCTGCTCAGCTTAAACAGCAGCCTTTGGCATTATTATGAAAATTGCAACAGCAAAAAATCGGAGAAAAAAATAATACAAAAAATAAAAAATCATTTGCAACAGCTACCGGTTAGTATTAACGCATTATGCAAAAGACACAAAAGAGCTCAAAGCGGGGGCAGACACAAAAGTTTGCGAATTACATATTAAATGCAAAAGGAATTTTATTTACTTATTCATACAAAGTAAACTAATTTTATGTATTTTATTTTATATTTATTTTTGTATTTTTTCTTTAATTTTTAATTTCGTATTTGCTGTTTTATTTATTTATTTTTTATTTTATTTTTAATTTGATTATTTAAATATATTTTTTCAATTTGTTGTCTTATATTCTCTTCAACATTTTATGTAAATACTTTCTTTAGAATTTGTATTTTTTTAATTTTTTTTTATTTAAATTTAAATTTATTTATTTATTTAAAAAATAAGTTTGTTAGATTAGTTCTTTGTTGTTCTTCCTCCATTTTTATTTTATTTTATTGGTAGATTCTCATTTATTTTGGTTTTTTTATTTTAACTTTATTCATTTAATTCATAGTTTCTTTATTTATTTATATTTTTAAATTGTTATATTTATAATTTTTTTTAATTTAAATGTTTTTTTTAATGCCTTGTTAAAATGTATTGAAAAAAATTTATATATATAATTTTCTTTTCTTGAGAAATTAAAAATTGATTTTTATGCACCAAATAAATACATCATTTTGGCAATAAACTCATCAATTAGCCCTCTTAAACAAAAACGAAAAAAAAATTTGTAAAAAGCCATCATCAAGCAGACAAAAAAAATAACACCGAAACGCAACGCATTTTTAATGGATTTTTTTCTCGCTCTCTTCATGGGTTGCGGGACTTGGGCTGTTGATGTGGAGTATATTTTTTTTGAGGGGGAGGGGGCGGGTTGGGTATGGTATTGCTGGCATTATGCGGCATTATTGTTGTTTGTTTTCACAGAATGCCCTGACACCAGGCAAGCAAACAAACAACAACAACAGCAACGACATTTCCATGTTGATTTTGTTGTTGTTTTTTGTTTATATTAAAACCTGCGGTCAGGGCGTGTTGCAGTTGCAGATTTTTACACGCAGCCATTAAAAAGGCACTCGGAGGCGACTCTCGGCCAGGTGATGACGACTGAGGATTTGGTCGACGGCTGCGCGTGGCTGAAGCGTGAAAAATGCAACAGACATTGCCAAAAATGCCATAAATAAGTGCAGCAACAGCAGAGCCGAGCGAGAGGGAGAAAGAGAGAGAGAGACAGAGAGTGAGGGCTCGAGAGCTGGAGAGGGAAAAAGTGTTAATAACACTAATTTGTCTGCGGTCAAAATGGTAATTTTTGTGGATATTCAGTTGGCCCGGATTGGGTTTGAGTTTGGGGTTTTGCGTGCTGATTGCCAATGGGCGCCTTTGGGGCTCGGGCTTGGGATTTGGTCAGTAGGTGAAAGGCAGGCAAGCACACAGATAATGAGCTGTAAACGAGAAGCCATTGATTGCTGCTGAATTTACATATAATTGGGTGCAAAATGTGCCCAAAATTAGCCAAAAAAGAGGTGTGAAGCAGAAGCACAGCAAGAGTTTTATGCAACGGAAATCGATCTGATCAGGCCAAACACTTGGCATGCTTTTTGTTAGCTGAGCCCAGAGTCCATTAAACAGGGGCCCCCACTCCACAAGCGCGCAGACATATGCCATAGACTAGCGCCAGTTAATTGCCATGGGCATAGACAGAGGCCGGTGAGTCGCGACTCGCGACGCTCATCTGGGATCAGTTGATGCGCCTCTTGCCCGTTGCGGTGCTCATATGTTAATGGCACTCCGTCGCCTGGCCATGCCATGCCCCTGCCCCAGCCACTCTATCGGCGGTACTTAGTTTTCCTCCAACAATTTGTGGCTTCAACATCTTTGCCTTTGACTAATTCACGTTGAGTATTTTCCTCTCTTTTTTCTTACCCATTTCTTGTTCGTGATTTGCGGCAATTTTGGTAAAGTGTCTAGCGAGGTTCTAATGTTATGACCGGGGCCAGAGATGCGGCACCGGCAATAGACCACACCACACCACATCACAGAGCCTAATGCATTTCGAACTTCTCTGTTTTGTGGCGATAAGGAAGAAAATTGTTTATAATGAGGTTCTGCGGTCGACGCTCAATTCAGTTTACTTAATTGTTCCAAGCGGCCACTGGATTTACGCTGCCACGGTCAATTAGGCCGTAGTTCTTCTACCCGTAGGTAGCCAGTCCTCCACCAGAACTTGATGATTTGACTCGGCTAATGCTCAACTAATTGAGTAATTTCTGACTATTTGGTATCAATCATTGGGCCGGCTCAGCCCTGCTCCTTATCCAATTTCTGAGAACGAGTTGCCTGAACTTCAAGTTTCTCCCTTTTCTCTTCATCCAGCTGGGCATTGCGAATCTCCCAAAAGGCGCTTTATTGTTACAAATTTGCTGGCAGTTCCGCAGCATCCTTTTACAGCAGCTTCCCAGAGGCAGTCGACTGCTATTCCTTTGGGTGACATGCTTTCACTTCTTAACCTGGTCATCAATCATTCGCCTTGACTTTCTTTGTAATCTGCTTGGTCCAGTGGGTTAGTTATCGGCAGTTAAATGTGACTATAAATCGAAAAATTATAAACGCTTAGCACTGACCGCCAGACAGAGCTCGAAAGACACCCTCCAAAGGGAAGATGAATTCGTGTCGATGACGAACTTGCAATGCTCTTTAGGATCTGGGCATTAGCTTGTGCTCAAACCGTATAGCTTAGCTAATGTGCTTCTGTTCTGAGAATTTGGCCAACTTTTTAAGCCTTTAACAAATCCAATTGCTGGACTGCTGCTTACCAATTCAATTGACTAACTCTTGGCCATTTCGATAAACAGTTGGCAAATTTATGCATTTATTTTGACATGCGGCATGATTTATTAACCGTAAGTAATTTGTAAATACACACACACACACACACATACAGACATACACATACTGACAGTTTCAGGACGGCTGCAAAGGGGTTAGGGTATGACCAGTCGGGTTGCCAACCCCTGCTCTGTTGGTCAGCCCTTTTTTTGGGGGTAGAGAGAATGTTTTTTTTTTGTCTTTCTCTTCTGCTTGTTTTTTAAATATATTTGCATTGGCGCATTCGTAACCGCATCGAATTTGTTTGTAATAAAAATGTAAATGCCATCGGACGCCACTTCAAGACGAGTTTCACTCCGAACCACAAAGAAAAAAAAAAAAAACAACACAAGAGAAACAGAAACAAAAACGAGTTGCCAAAAGAAATGAAATACGACCGCAAACTGACACTTGAGGATGAGCTTGGACCATGGCGTAACCCTTTTCGGTTTTGGTCAGCTCAGATCAGGATAGGGTTTGCCCTGATACGCATTTGGCCAAGTGGTTTGGCAGCTTGCTTCACTCTGACCCTCGCCTTGACCAGTCGCCTTTCTCTGCGGCTAATAAATGGGTTTTATATACATCATCGGTTATTTTGATTTATGCCTAAAGTAAATACAATTTGCAACATTTTGATAAGCATTAGCTGAACTAATGCCACACAGTTGCCAGCTTGCGTGTCATTTACCTTTGTGTAGATCATTAAAACGCTGCTGGGGAGCATTGGGGGAACCAGATAATGCAAACAGAACTTGAGTTTGAATTGGAAAAACTATGCCGCCCCCTGCCCAAAATCCCAGTCCCCATTCGAGAGGCCGCTGAGGCAGCTAAGCATTTGCCAAGGTGACGCCTATTCTTGTTATTTTTAGCGCCAAAAACAAAGAGTGAAATAAAAAGAAAGAAAACAGGAGTAACACCGCTGCTATCGGGTGATATTGACTGCATAATACTCATTCACAGAGAAAACTAAATTTAGGAGCGAATAAAAGTAATTAAATTATCCCAATACATGGGAATACTTAGTTTTTTATATTATATCATCACCATATCTATTCAATCTTGGCTTGTCAACACGAATATATATACCCAAATTTTAGTAAAGTATTGAAAAAGTATTTCCTGATTTGCCACGCCTCCCGAGCGCATATTGGAAGAACATTCACAGGTATAATTGAGAATATTTTCCAAATTTCACATAAATAGCACTATAAATAATAGCATTTCTGAAATACAGACATAATATTAAGTGATTTACCACGCCTCTAGAATAGGTAAGGGGAAAATCCTAATACTTCATCAGATCCACGAATATATATTTCAAATTTTAAATTTCAACAGAGATGAAATGGATAGATAGATCCAGAGATACAGAAAAGACAGCAATATAGTTATTCCACAAAACCAATATGCTCATTTCACATTATGAATGCGCATTAAATCGAGCAAAGACAAACAGTGTACAAATTTTAAAATAAATTTAGTAGCGTGTGTTGGG